CCCCTCACCACAATGGCCTATGTTTCCACGAGTTAACATTTTTAGCTCTATTACGTTTAATTTAAAATATTTAAATTTTTTTAAACTAAAATTATTAACTCCGACAAATAATAAAAACGTGCAAGCATAATAATTACGACATGGTTAACAATAATAAAAATAAGCAAAAAAATAGTTTAATTTATGAATGTGAATTGTACATTTATTATGATAACAATAATGAATTCCAAATGGGATCAACTTTCAATAATTATAAATCATAATTAATTAAACAATATTTTATCATAGGTCAATACTATGATAACAATTTAGATTTTTGTAGAGCATAGATTGAAACTTATTTAATCTCGATACTAAATTTAATGATGACGATGCAGTCGAAAAACAACAATTACATCCATTAAGAGTTAAGAAACAAACACGCATTGAAAACATTTTGAATCATCGTAATAAGATAATTAATGACATAGAAGATTATTTAATAATTTATTTAAACAACTTAGTTCTTTTGACGCTTTTAAAAACGCAATTACTTCTTTCAAAGTTTTTGAAATCAAAATTATTATATTTGGTATTTCATCACTAACTTTCTATATTATTGAGATGAATACGCCAAGTTCAAACGGTGTATTACACGGAACTGTAGCACTGGTAACGGGTGGTGGTCAAAGAATGGGTCTCGCAATCGTCGACGAGTTGCTAAAAAACGATGCACATGTAAGTAACAAATGAATAAGTAATGCAAATATAATATTTTACCGACATTTATAAAATTGGTTTGGATATTTTGTTAACTGAAAAAATAAATAACTTGAAAAACGCATAAAATTTCACCAAATGTTTAATTTGAAAAACATTTTCAATATATGATATAGTTTTCACCGAATAATATTGAGCTATTTATAGATAGCATTTGAAATTTACCAATTTTATTTTTATATATAAATATCGATAATAATTGCGCTCTGTAAAAAGGTTGACAACTTATTTGTAAGGATTCGTATGTTTTTTATACTGAATTAAAAAAAAAAAAATATGAAAATCTAATAAGAATTCTTCAACAATTTGTTGATATGTAATTTTAAAAAAATTCAGCGTAAACCACATACATGTTGTATAAGTATCTGAGATAAGCTTCAATCATAAAATAATATTTTCTCATCAAGCATGTATAGTGTTTTTGTTGTACTTCAACAATTATTAATCGTAGACATTTGAAAAATTCCACTGTTACTAAAATTATTAGCTTTTATACTATTTTTACATACAGGGTGATTCTTTTAAGTGGGTAAGCTAACTATCTCGAAAAGTATTTACTTTTTTCAAAATATTTTTTTACATGGTTTCAAGTTGTTAAAAAACCAACGTTTTTATTAAAAAATTATGTATTTAAATATATTTTATCCTTATCATTTTTTAAGTTTTTTACTTTTTTGAATGACAACATAGAGTTTTAATTTCATATTCCAAAGCTGAATATTTTTCTAAGTATTTTGATTCATAAAAATCGAAATTTCAAAAATTGTAAATTATTTTTAATAAACAAAATTTCATGATTTCTATCGTTAAAAACATTTTCTTCACATCATATAAAAAATATTTAAAAACATTGATACTTTTTGAAATAGTGAGTATTTTACGATTAATGAATCACTTGTTATCTGTATAAAATATTTAAATATATAGATATATATTTATGATACATATGTATATTGTATATAATATAATGAAAAATATATATGGTTAACACAAAAACGCGTTATACAATCATATTGCTAAATTAACAACTAGTTTTACAAATCTTCGGATTGAAGTCGTGAAGCACAACTGTATTAACAGTGTAAATAAATTAAATGTGAGCAACTTTTTATGCTGTTATGAAATGTATTTAATCATGCAATTGGAGAAATTTTGAAATATACACTACACTTTTATGTATCAAGATCGTCATTCKGTGTACATGTCGTAACTGAAAAACAACCTTTACGGTTTCTAAGCAAGGGTTATATTTCTGTAAATGGTTCAGTTTATAAAAACTTTAAACTTATTATTAATGGTAAAACTCACAATTTCAAAATACCTAACATGTATACAAACTTAAAAGAAGATTAAGGTGTGGTATACTAAAAATAAGTAATTAATTTAAATACAAAAACTTGTAAGATCAAAGTTTAAGTTGATAATATTTTTTTTTATTTTATTATTATATATATTTTCTTGTAATGCAGTTCTATAATGCAGTTTTTTTTTTTATGTAAGAATTGTTGTTATGTTCAAAAAACAATTTAATAGTAAATTAATCATTTAGAAGAGTTCAGCACTTTGAGAAACTGAACATCAATCAGAACCTTTTTAAAAAAAAATGCATAATCATATAAAATTATTATCATTACATTCAAATTATTAAAAATAAAAATTCAAATATTCATATTCGATAAACTCTATCCTGCGTCAAAGTGAACAAAGTGAGTCAAATGTCTAACACTTGGTATCTGAAATATATATTTCTTGCATTTTGGCAAATACGTGACTARAAAAAATTAATTAATTTTCATGGTAATGAACGGTAAAATCAGTCGTTATTTAAAATCGCCTCGAGTTTATTTTCCAAGTGTATATATATATTATATATGTCATGATTTTTAAACGAAATGTTTATGTTTTATTATTATCTTTTTTTTATAGGTGTCTTTAATAGATATTAGTGAAGAAATAGGAAATAATGCAGTCTGTGAATTAGAAATCAAATATAAATCATCTTCAAGAAATAGATTATTATTTATAAAGTGTGATGTTACCAATGAAACAGAGTTCGAAGGTAAGTAATTAATAATATTATCAAAGGTGGGCATTAACTAGAAAAAAAGTTAATTTTTTTACACTTTTTAACTTTATTAGTTTATTAATTATCTAATCAACTTATAAACATAACTAGTTTAAATAATTTAGCTTTTCCTAGTTGATTTAAAAATAGTCCATCAAGTTAAAAAGTTTTGAAATTTTTCGTTTATACTAATATTAACATAAAATAAAAATAATCCAATTCTACAATAACACAAACATTTCTCTTTTTTCATGATAAAATAATTTTATAAATAAATATATTTTATTCTATTATATAGACTCTCTTTATGTGATTCACATGATAATTTTAAAAAATAGACTAACTTAAGAAAAAAATTTTTCTGAGTTAAGTTAATATTTTTTTCCATATTAACATTAACATGACGATCATGTGTCCTCTTAACTTAGCTTAACTTGAGTTAATTATTTTCATTAATTATTTGCATATTATCAATAGTTCATGCTGTGTAAACATAACAAAGTACAGTTTATTTAGAATTCAGAACATTTTAGATTCTGAACGAAGTAATGAATGTATTGATTTTACAATGATGTGTGTGTTTTTTTTTTTTGTATGTGTGTCTGTGTACAGCATAACTAGTCGAAATAATGCTTCGATTTCAAACTTTGGGGGTGGTTTCCGATGTAAAAGTGAATATCCTTGGTGCATTATACAGGTTAAAAGTAAACATTTTCCAACAGTTTTCAAAAAAATCGAGAAAAACAAAAAAAAAAAATGACAGAAAAACGGGAATTTTTACGCAAAACCAGTTTTCGACCAAATCGATTTTTTTAAATGGTTGTAATTCAAAAACTAATCACTATAAATACTTGAAATTTACACCAAATGTTTATGTTAGTGATATCTATATACAGTTTAATTTTCAAAAATTTTGACTTTTTTGAGTTATTTATTGACCACTGAAATTTTCAATTTTTTTTTTGAAGTGCCGGTAAAAAAATGTTGGACGACCAAAAAAACTTGATAATTTAACACAAGGTTCCTTATGAGTTATTCTTATTGTAGCTAAAAAAAAATTAAAAACCGTAAGTCACAATTTTTTTTATAAGCGTTTATAGTTCAAATTTTTACGAAATCTGTCGAAAACGCGAAAATTTACAAGTAATTTTGAAGTTGAATAATCATAAAAGTTTTTGTGTGTATAACTAATGATTAAAAATACAACACTAAGTTTTCTATTAGTTTTTCTTCAAGTAGCTAATGAGAAAACTCGAAACATCATTATAGGAAAAATTTTTAGTGCGTTTGAATTTTAAATTTTTACGAAAAAGCGTAACGATAAAGATTTATTCTCAAACGATTTTAAATATTTGTAATTATTCAAAAAGTATAAGTCGTAGATACTTGAAAATTTCACAAGTTATTTAGATTGGCATTTTCTTTACATGATTTAATTTTCAAAATATTTTGAATTTTTTTGAGATATTTATAGACAACTGAAATTTTCAATTTTTCTGGCCATATCAAAATACTTGAAAATTTAATACAAAGTTCCTCATAAGTTATTCTTATAGTGATTAAAAAATTATAAAAATACATAGGCACAATTTTATTTTATAATCATTTAAATTTCAAATTTTGACTAAATACGTAAAATTTACGGCAATGTTCAAATTATCTTAGATAGAAATTCATAAAAGTTTTTATTTTTAATTCTATGATTTGAGTGTTTAATACCATGCTCATAATATATTTTTACAATAGCAGTTGAAAAATAAAAGAAATATATAGCCACAATTTTTTTTTACATGCATTCAAATTTTAATTTTGACAACATACGTGAAAATCACGAAAATTCATAAAAAATTTTCCTTTTATATCTAAGATTTGAAAAATTTTAATAATCTTTAATATATTCTGGACAGATAAACCGTCTCCGTTCAGAATCGTTTTTCGTATACAATGATACCTATCATTGCATTCAAATTTAACCTACCCTAGTCAGAGGTCCACCCCACCCCCAATGTACAGCAGAGCGATACCCACTTACCCGCTTTTTTTAATTTATATACATATATATGTATTAGATTCATTTAAGAAAACCATTGAAAAATTTGGAAAAATAAACATTGTTGTTAATAATGCTGGTATCATGACCAAGTATTTGACTTCTTGGGAGCTAGCCATCGATTTAAATTACGTAAGTAACCAAGTATGATGATATATCTAAACTGTATACCAGTAATATTTTTGTATTTCTATGAACTTTTTAATGTACTGTTCAGTTAATATTTATACGTTTCGATGAAGATTATTAGGAAACATAACAGGAACAACTTAAATATTATTTTTATTAATTTTTAAAGTAACAGTTCTTATTAAATGTTTTTTATACCATCACATTATAGAAAGCAGTTGTTCGAGGTACCATACTTGGTCTTAAATATATTGAAAACAAAGTAGATCAAAACTCTGCAGTAATTAATGTTGCATCGATAGTTGGATTATCCAACACTGTCTTGCCCATATACCAATCGACCAAAAGAGCTGTTATTGACTTCACAAAATGTATTGGAGTGAGTATGCCGTGAATATTTCGATGAATGCAGGAATTTAAAAAAAAATATTAGATATTCTTATGTTAAGATTACTCATAAGAGTATAGGAGCTATTGTTTTTTCTTTTAATATTAACGTTTCAAGTGTCCGTTCAATTCAAAAGCGACCGGAAATAACGTTAGAGTCATGGCCATTTGTCCTGGTGCCACGTTCGATGGATTTGAAAATAACATTGAAGGGAAAAATGCGTTAGAACGTGAAATTGAGGAGCTGATTACGAGTGGTGAAGAGATCCCAAATCCAAATAGAATACTGATAATACAGAGGTAATGCATCCAATCACAGGATTAAGTTAGTGTATTATACGTACTACGTATTTATTGTAAAATAAAGTTATAACATTTGAAAATTGTATTACAGCACTGATTACTATAAAGCTGCATTTCTCCACGTTTTGAAAAATGGCAAAAACGGAGATGTTTGGATAACCGAAAATGAACAGCCCCCGAGACTCACACATTTCTCCACTCAATATTAAATAAATTAAATATCAACTTTTAATTTAATGTAATTTTAACAAACATGAAATAGTCATAAGTAATAAAAAATTAACTTATAGAAATAAACACCAGTGATAAGATGTATTCTTATTATGAGAAGGTGGTGTCCAATTTGACAGATTGCATACGTCTACAGATTGGTTAGTTTGACATATAATTTGTAGGGCATCTGGAATTTAACAATCTAAAGTGAAGTAGTAAATGGATTGAACAAGATTGACCAAAAATTTAAATTAATTAAAGATAACTGAGTTATTGAATCAATTGTACCAGACAATAGGACATATAGAAATATTTGGTTAGCGATCTGTCAGTAAAGAAAGGGTTGGTGACAGGCATGTATTGGTAATCCAACGACTTTTATCAAACAAAATTTAAATTTGACCCGACTTCCTAACTAATTTGTTTCCCTGGAGCTATGAGGATCTAAGATAACCAATCCTTCCACCAAGATTTCTCGTACCTACAAGTGTAAAATGCAATGATTTAATTAATGTTTGAAACTGAAATATATTACTATTAGCCCATTATCAGTTTTGTCACCAACCGTTACTAAGGTCAATTTACATACTAAATGTTTATTCATACCTACTCGATTAAATAATATCAGTGATGACTATAAAAAAATATATACATATCACAGCAGTCAGCAATTATATAATATACCTACAATACATTTTAAAACTTAACTATTGGTACCTCAATATTTTAATCATATACAAGATAATATGAGTATTGTATTTTTTTCACTTATCTTATGTTATTACATTATAATTTCAACTCTCTCTCTCTCTCTCTCTCTCTCTCTCTCTCTCTCTCTCTATACACACTTAATTAATAAATAGTTAAGATTTAAGTTTTCGAAGTGAAATATTAAAATTTTATTATAATTTATACACAATTTAATAATTTATAAAACAAAAAATTAAAAAACCTTTTTAATAAAGGCTAAAAATAAATTTTTGTACAATTTAAGACATTCCAAAATCATAATTCAAACAATCCACGCCTATAAAATATTGGAAAATTATAGTAACATTATTAAGTATCGTCATTCGATTATTAAATTATAGTTATGGCTAAAGCGGTATCATACAACATTATAATTTTAAATATTTAAATTTAAATATATCACCTAATAATTGAAGAATCTAAAATTTAAAACATAAGTCTATAATCATTAAAAATTAAAATAACACTACAATTCGTTTTTTATATTTGAATTTTTTGGTGAAATAAATTTATTTAAACCAGATAATAAAGGTAGTTCACTCCAAAATTTATACTTCTTCTCAAACGGATTTTTTACAACTTTTGGTTGGGCCGAATCAATGTGCAGTAATTCTGATTGTCCAATAGAAGTAAATACAGGCCAGGCTTGTCCATTGTCCGTTCCATCAATAGTAGGTGTTCTAAAATAAATAATTTTGCCATAGTATAAATTTTTTTTAAATTTTAGCACCCACACAACCATAATGAATACACCTAATTTTATCTCTTTAAAAATTTGAAATTGTTGGCGATTTATTATTAACTTATATTGAACAATGTTAAATTTATTTTTTATTTTTATACTTGCTTTTAATTAACTTTAATTCATTAATATCATACTCACTTAGATGATGCGAACTTGACCCAAATATTAACCATGAGCTTCGAAATTTTTATATCTTTGTCATTTAATCCTTTTGGATTCAATTCCTTCAATTGAAACAAGCTAATCAATTCATCAGCATGACTTACTCCGAGAGGCTTTTTACAATCGCCATACAATTGGTTGAATGAAAACTCATTTTCATAATCAAATAAATAAAAGTGAACAGGTGAAGATAATTGAACACTCATATCCAAAGCACACTGAATAAAAGTTCCGTCTCCGATCATCTATAATGGATTATTTAAAATGTTAAACAATTTATTTTAATATTCGTAGAATTGATTTATTTATAAAATCAAATGTAATATAATAGACTATAGTACTTTGACAGTATCCAAATGCGAGTAGCTCTCCATATTTCCCGATGGAAAATACGTTTCCATGATCCGATTACTAATTTCATCCAAATATTGAGGCATTGACACGTGTTTGTACATTAATAAAAGGGGCAAAATACGATTAATATCGGTAGACAGTTCAGGATATTGAAGAGAAGTTTCATTGAATAAAGCTGAAAATAATAATTTCTAAATTCAGGGTCAGATTGGCATATCGACAAATAGGAAAATGTTTGGATGGACCGGTCTTTAAGCGGGCTACTTGATAAATGTTTTATGACAATCAATTTTGGTTTGTCAAACTACATTTTAGGTATAAGTACTAAGTAGGTATGATCAAAACATTTTGTACCTACTTTCAAATCGACCAAATTAACCAAGGTTGAAATATTTATACAATTGATCTATTTAAAAAGTATATAGAATAAGACTATAATAACTTAAAGTTATACATATCAACAATTACATGGAATTATCTTCTTTTGTTTCTTTTAACTCGGGTATTGGCATTTTAAATGTTTTAATTGCGTATATTTCTTAATATAATTCATTAAACAAACAAAATTATTTTTTTAAATTTTGAATATTTAGAATTTTAAAATTAAAATTAAATATATTGAAATTGAAAAAATATTTAAAAATTGTAAGAAAATCGTTTTCAAGACGTTCATTTCATGACGAATTCAAATATATTTTTCAAATATCTTATTGGATAAATACGTTAGTTCAGTGTTTTCCAACAACATTTATTCTACGCCCCCTTGTGAATTTTCAAAATTCTCACACCCCCCTTAAATTAGAGTTTAGAAGATCTTTTTTGACTATAGTAATACAAAATAATTTTGTATTATACTATATAATATAACATATAGGTACATATAAGTTATCAATGGACAACCATTAATTTATTATTATTAGTAATATTTAGTTACAAAAGAATGTTTCCGTAGTGGGTTTTTGATAGCAATATGCATGTGAGGGAACGCTAAACTATATTTTTTACGTACAATATAACGACGCACTTACTCTACATGCTATAACTTATTACACAAATATTTAGAAAACGCATACGCATACTCATTTAGAAAATTGCCTATATTTAACTCCTTAAAAAATGATTCTTATCGACTCCAAAACGCACAATATAATAATATTTTTGTTACTTACATTAGTACCGATTGCTGAAGAAGTAAAAATAAAATTTAAAAAAGATTGCAAAGTCCCTTCATAATGACTTTGTAAGTCATATGTAAATTGTACAAAATTTAGATATTTTAGCCCTTGCCCACTAAATACTAAAGGCGTCTGTATAATATAATTTATACTATATTATATAAAGTGTGCCAGTACCTTATACCTATAAATATAGAATGCAGACTGATTTTTTTTACCCAAGCTTCTTATTGCTATAACTATTTTATTATACCGTATTTGACATTTTTTTCGCATAATTAATAATCAATAAAATATATTATATATATATATAAATAATTTTAAAATAATTTTTATTTCTACTAGGTAGTTAGATAAATATAGCAGCTTAAAATTATGTGTAGAACAAGAARTTAATTAAATAGCTATAATTGTATTTAAAGTTTAGAAGAGTGGAGTTCATTTCTTTAATACAAAGAAATCAATAAATTCAATTTTGCAACTTTAATTTTATAACTTTTTGTATTTTTTAACATTTTTGATATATCAGATCTGTTTGGTCTTTATCGGTAATCTTTTCAATATCAATACCTTTTTGATATTTTTATCATTTTCGGCTTTTAAAACTTTAAATATTTTTGAAAACGTAAATATTTTATGAAATTTAAGCATTATGATAAGTTCCTAACATTGAATGTCTTGCATTAAAACATCATCTGTGTATAGTCAAGGCCTTGTAAATATCCTGTTTTATTCGTAAAAAAACCGGTTTCTGGACTTAAATTTGTTAAAAGATACAGCGACACTCATAGTTATACTACGCAACAGCATTAGCTATGAAATATATAAATAAATAATAATTTAATATTCGTGATAAAAAAAAAAAAATGATGCACCCTGAACTTTATAGCTTCATTATTATTTGGCTTATTGTTAACATAAAAATATATCTTCGTTAATAGACATATAATAGATGTTGTTGAGGGCTGTTGGTGTGTGCATGGAGGATGTGGAAAATCGAGAAAGTGAAGATGTAGGACAAAGATAACCGAACCCAAATAATTTGATAATTTGGAGAAAGGCATAGGTAGAGAAGAAGAATAGACATATAGTAGAACAGTTAAACTTAACAATTTTGATATTAAGTAATCCAATTTTTAATTCTACTTACATGCTGCAAATACACCACCTTCGCCCGAATTCAAACCAATAACTACAGGTACATTAGACTCTTGTTTAAAGTCAGTAATTGGATGATTACATAGAAAGGATTCCTCGTTTGAATCGCATGATTCAACCACAGGCGGAAATATTATGCATGGATGATTGATCCATTCCTGAAACACGAAATACTTTAATATCTTTAAGTATAATTTACATAATAAACAACTAATATTGTGTTTTAATATATTATTAACTATCAGAATCATTCAACAACAAAAACAAGATATATGAATAATTTTGTTTTGTGTTTAGTTGAAATCTTTTTTTATTGTAACCGCCAATTGGTACCTATTCTTGATAGTTTAGGACATAAATAAAATTAAAATGCGTACGAAGTAACTAGAAACACATAAGAGATAAAGGCGTCCATTGAAATGTTATACTTACAAAAAATTTATTGTGAAGTTCAACCATATAATTAGCTGGAAGTTTTTTTAAACATTTCAATATTTCTTCAGAAGTATTGGAATTACATCCAGCGATAGTAGCAACTGCTTCGGTACGTTTGCGGACTAGCCCAGGTGGAGAAACAGCCCAACGACACAAAGGTGTGCCACTCTGGAGTATGGCTTTATGAAACAGGCCTTTACTTAACGGAGATAATAAATGATATCCTGCACTGGCACCACCTGCGCTTTCACCAAATATTGTCACCTGTCCGGGATCACCACCAAAATCAGCAATATTTTCTTGGACCCAACGTAATGCCATGACTTGATCTTTGAGTCCATAGTTACCTGGTATTACGTTATCTTCAGTGCTCACAAATCCTAAATAATAACAAATTATTTGTACAAAATAATTATATCAAAACAATTATTTGGTTTAACGAATCTTACCAAATAATCCAAGCCTATAGTTTATAGATACCAAAACAACTTCATTGTCCATAAAATATTCAGGTCCAAATATGTTTGAACCGCTATGGCCAGCAAGAAATCCTCCACCATGTATCCAAAACATTACTGGAAGTTTTCCATTTATATTTGGTGTGTAGACATTCAAATATAAACAGTCTTCTTGGCCAAGTATTAAGTGTTTAATTGCCGAGAAGAAATGGTTATTTTGCGTACACATATTTGATTCTTTAGTGGCATCTAAAATACCCTCCCACGAATCCACTGTTACTGGAGGCTGCAATCAATCGAAAAATATTAT